AAATGCAGAGTACCTTGTACGTGTGAAACAGTTCCTTTTGTTGCTCTTTGTGCCTGCTCCGGTGGAAAGGAGGTGATTTTGAGGCAGGGATCACCTGAAAAGTGATCCCATTTAAATTTTGTTGGTGGGAGGATGCTGACTCTAAAAGCTGCTGCTGAAAGCGCTCCTTCCCTGCTCCCAGAGGAGGAGGAGGCTCTCCAAGGACTGATGCTCCCATGGTACTGAGCCAGAAGCCGTGGGTTTAAGTTAAGCTGTGGGTCTGTGCCCTCTCTTTCTGGCACCGTCACTTTTCCGTGTCCCCTCCCTCCGCCTCGCTTGTCCTTGTCCTTTCCCTCGTGCTGGTGCTTGGTCAGTAAATCCCTTGCCCGGCTGCCATGGGAACAGCATTGCTTATGGTGATTGCTGTCACGATTTCAAACTTGATTCCTTCTTTAGATGTGCCCTGGCGCCGAGCGGAAAGGGGAGAGCGGGAGCCGTGTGCGTGGTGGTGAGTTTGGGAATTCCCAGGCAGTTCTAGGGAAGGAGCAGGGCCCTGCAATGCTTTTATTGGAGCAGAAGGCTGGAGGCCACTGGAAATTGTTGTCTTCTTAACCAGCTCTTTTTCCTAGCTTCTCTAAACCGCTAATATTATTAACACACAGATAGCTGAATAGTTGGTAAATGAAGCTTTGGCCAAAAAAACCCCCAAACCTGTGGCTTTTCACATGCTCCTCCCAATGGCTGTTTTCCCTGACCCACTTCCCTTCACAAGAGGTGCAAGCAGCAAAAGCAAATCTTCAAAAATCATCCTTTTCCCTCTTTATTTCTTCCCCCTCTCGTTAGGGTTTAATTCACCGTCGGGTGGACCTGCCCCTGGAAGGGTCTGCCCAGGCTCTGCCCAACCCAGGGTTTAATTCATCGCTCGGACAGAAGCCCCTTGGCTGGTGCTGGCAAAGAACAAGCATTTTAGCTCATGCTATTTTTTTTTTTATTTTTTTAGCCTGTATTTTCCCCAGCTGTGGAGAACGGAGTGGAAATGCTCATAGTAAAAATGTACAGCGCTATAAGTTTTCCATCCTGTCTTGTAATGCCTCTCGAATCGGTTCTCGGTGGCTCCCCTCCAGCCCGACGAGAAACAGGACCCCGGGCTGGCCTGAAGTGGAAGCTACAGCAATTGAGTTTCTTAAATCTTCGTCACGCCTGCTGTTGAAATGGCTCCTGTCCGGGGTTTTTCTGGATTTATAAAGTTCCTTTCAGGAGGGATCGTTCGCCCATGATCACAGGTGACTCCATACACCAGTAACCCATAGCCTATGGTAAAAGAAAAATCCCATTCTGGCATTCTTGTGGCTACGCAGGACGTCATTCAGCCCTTACTATTTTTCTAAATGAAAGAAGAAATAGTTATTTTGAGTATATTCAGGTACCCCGGTTTCCTGGCGTGTTCGATCCTCTCTGTCCTTTCATATTTCAACCCTGTCTCTCCCCCTGCTCCAAACTTACACCTGCAAACCCAGAGAAAACGTTGTATAAACCAGCAAAGGCGGATTTAGGAGAGCAGGGGGTGAGCGCTGGGTTTGGGGGATGAGCCGCAGGGACAGGTATGTGCTTACAGCTACCTTGACCTCCTTTTCCAGGGAGCTTGGCTTGGTTTCAAACTCCTGTTTAAATAAGATGTTTGATACTGTTAGTGATTTATTTTTCTTTTTTTCCCCCTGGGTGTGCTTTAGCCTTTCCTCTCTCCATGGCTTTTTGGGGGAAGGAGTGGGATTGTCTATTAACTTCCCTACTTTTTTTTTTCTGGTTGCACATTATCCGGCTGTGGTGCAGTATTTTGGGGAGCAGGGACACGTTTAGAAGCACAGTGCCCTGCACAAGAGATTTCCCAGCAATTTGGCACTGTATTTCAGTTACTCATAGGCACCGCCGCGCGTTTGCCCGTGGTTTTTTATCTCTAGCCGGCCACATTAGAGCCTAATAAAGCGAGTGGGCAATAGTGCTTCAGACCTGTAAGTATTTTATCAAATTGTTTGGTTTCGAGGGTGGCAGGAGCTGAATGAGAACAGCGGGGAGCAAACTTCACCTCCAGCATCGTGGTGCACGGCAGCGGCAGAAGCCCGGAGCTGCAGCCCTCCGTCGCCGGCCGGGCAGTGGTGAAATCCACCTAGATATTTCCATTTTGGCCTTTAGGATTTTCCTGGAACTGCCCATTTCCACCCGGGGTGTTAATTTGTTGTGTTGCCTTCCGGTTTGCTTAGGCCTGGTGCTCGGATGAAGGTTGGTGGATCCATGAGCAGCTATGGAAGTCCACCTGCGTCCCCGTGCTGGCAGGACCGTTCTGCTTAAGCTGGCCTAAGCAAAACAGTCTGGAGGTTGGGATTTCCTCCGGCTGAATGCTGAGGTTTTGCATTTTGTTCCTTTTCTTCTGAAAGGCAGGGAATTGCTGAGGCAGGTAGGCTTTCAGATGGACCTATGCTAATGCCTGCACAATGCCCGGCCCCAGCTTAAAGCAAGGTGGGCTGAGTTCCTGCTGGGGATGGGGCTTTTTAGCCTTGCAGGGTTGTTAGTCTTGCAGATATTTAGATAAGAAGAGCTTTAGGCTTCCAAATTTTTCTTTCTTAAGAAGAAGAAAATGAGGGGGGGAAAAAAAGAAAAAAAAGGAGGCCATACAGGAGGTGAGACTCCTCCAGTTTTGTTTTAATGCATTTGCCATTTAGACTACAGAAGCCTGAAGGCATTTTTTTTTTTGTTTGCTTTTTTAGCATAAGCAAAGCCTGCAGATAGTTCAGATTACCCTGTGGATTACATCTTAAAAAGGAGTGAAGTCTCGAAATAAAACCTGAGTTTTTATTGACATGCCCGTGACAAACCTGGGACATTTCCATGAACAGGAAAGCTGGAGGAATAAAAACATGGAAAAAGGATGCTGTGTAAGGCCAGTGATAAATTTATATAAAGAATTTGGGTAGGAACGTGGGTCCATAGCCTTAAAAAACCCTTTCCTGGAAACACAAACTCGGCCGTACGCCGTGGGGGTTTGGGGTTTCCTGGCTGCCGTGCCTGCTGTTGGGCGCAGTTGTGCGTTTGGGGGCTGCGTGCGAGCACATCTCGCTGTTACCTGAGCGATATTTGTCATTACTTCATCAGATCAGACCGGCAAAATCGTTCTTTTCAACCTTTCTTTAGGGGCAGACTGGTATTTGTTTATTTTTTTTTTTTTAAATGCTACTATATAGGGCTGCTGTAGATGAAGATGGTCCCGATCCCCGGGGTTTTTTTTTCTTGTTTGTTTTTTTAAAATTTATTAACCACTTGTTTGCAGAGGTCTTCAGGTTTGCTTTGAGTTTTATTTTGGGTGGTAACAACCCCTTTCTCCTGACGTAATGAGCCACTCAGTGCATAAATTCAATGCTAATTTTAATAACACTCTCCCTTTTCTGTGCCTGCAGACAGCAAGGGGCAGCCAGAGGGAAACCAGCGGGGTTGCCCTAAACCTCCGGGGCTGGAAAGCGGCTGGAAAACCCGCGGGTTGTGCGTTTGGATGGATCCCCAGCTCCCGTACGCTCGCGTTGTGCCGGCTCTCCTGCCCGCCAGCTCCTTCCTCGTGCTCGTAACGTGGGGATCTTACGTAACTTCAAACCCAGCGTGGGAGGAATTTGGCAAAAGGGTTTTCGAGCGAATAGCAACGCGTTCGCTAATTTTGGAAATCTATTTATATATTCATATATATATTTATTTTTTGATCTGGGGCGAAGGAAGAGGCTGTAAATGGAAATGTCATTCCATAACCCGAGCCAGCTACCTCCTTTGTTAAGGTGAATCTGCGCGAGGGCACCTGTAGCGAGGTGGGACGACTTTCTGCTGCCGATGGCTGCTTTAGCTGGTGTCGGAGGCGTAATTCAGGAGGGAGAAGCTGAAATACTGCTGCGGAGAGGGAATACTGCTGTTCCCTCTGAGAGGAAATACTTCTCTGGCCAAAGAAATTAAATTGCTCATATGGCCACCCGGGGCTATACGAGGTATCGGTAGCGTCGTATCTACTTCATTCTTACATATTGTGTTTCAAACAACCAGTTACATTCATCCAACGTCTTCTGTTTGGTCCCTTCTTCACTGGTTTCCATCTTTTTGTTATTTTGATTTCTCGCTTGCTCAAGTTTTAGTGATTTCCGCCCCTGCAAGGGCAGACAAGTCTACCAAGTGACTTTAGAGCAGCAAGATCACCCGTTTCCTAACTTCCTCCTTGCTTTCTCCTGGCTTTTGAAGGATCTCAGCTCGCTCGCTCGTTTTCCCCTTCAGTGTGCTGCAGTTTTCTTGCCTGCTTTGACCCCCCCCGCCCTGTGCAGAAGCTGGTGCTCTGCCATCCGCCTTCGTGGAGCGACCGTTTCAAGGTGGCAGATGCTCAGGCTGCTCTACCAACCCCATGTCTTGTCTGGGAAATCTGCTGCTGTGGCTGCAAGCTTTGAGGAGGATGTGAGCTTGGAGCTGGCCTGGATCATGCCATGATCCCTGCTGGTTTGTAGACACGTCCTCTTGGGTGGCAAAATTTTACTCTTAGCTTTCGGTTTTTGGTGACCTCTACTTTGTGTACTTGCCTGCATTTTAGCTTCATACTGGGTTTATGCAACGTTTCAGCAAGAAGAGCAAAAAGGGATTGTTGGGTGGAATTAGTTATGTCCTTTACTCTTACAACAGGTTATTAATTATCAATATGAAACTTTATTGCCTGTCTCCCACTGTAGAGCTACTTAAATTTGTGTTCTTATGTACGAAGAGACTGTTACTCCTTTTTGGTTTAGGACCACCAGCTTTCATCTCTTGGTTGTTATTCCGTGCTGTGTCACAACACAACACAGCATCTGGTTATAGACGTCTTGAAAATCTTCGTTGAATCATTTAGGTTGGAAAAGGCGCTCAAGATCATCGAGCCCAACGTTCACGTTGGGTTTTGTTGGGTCTTGGCTGCACCAGACCTCAGTACTGTCCTCACCCTGTGTAAACGCTTGCGTTTTAACACTCAGAATATGTGACTGTCAACAACGTCCGAGTCCTGGAAGTCTTAAAACTCCATTTTCTGTAATCCTAAAAATGAAACCTCCTTTCGGGCACTGATTCGTGTCGAAGTGCTGTTCGTAGAGGGCTTCTGACCTCCCCTGCCTCAGCAGGATTTTGAACTCATGGCTTGCTTAACCCCATTAAATCACATACGTGCCCTCCTGTACTCCACAGCTTGTTTAAACTCGTGGCTCATGTTTCCTCAGTGAAAACAAACCCTGTTCTTGCTGCTCCGAGAGTGATTTATGGCCTATTAATAAGCTTTATCAATTGGACGTGAGCTTTCGTAGAGGCGGGAGTATATTACTGCTGGTGATAGGTCTTGCTAGCAGGTTGCTCCTAATTCTCTGTCGAGGATGGTTTAAACGGGGAAACGGGTGGTTATTGCCGTGCCGTCACCCCGTCGGGTCCCTGCCTGGGTTACACAGAAACCGAAAGCTTTGGCTTGCTTTTCCAGAAACTGATACTTCTCGAGTAGCTGACGTCTGAAGTGAAATCTGTGAACCTTTTCTGCAAGAAATCCTTCACCGTGTCACCACGCCGGCACCGAATTAGGGCTCAAAAGCTGAGGTCCAGGTGAAAACTTCCTCTGTATCTGTGAGGTAGACGGGGAGAAGGCTGTCTGCGTGCAACCGTAAAGGTTAGAGCACCGGAGAATGCTTTTGGGCTTCTAGTAGAGGAAATAACAGACAAACCAGATGAGCTGTTGACATCTCGGTTAAGGCGTATGGGTAACCGCTGAAACTTCTACATCTGCTTCTGTAGTTTTCCTTTGGGGGCTGAGAAACTTGCCGAAGCGCTCCCAGGTATCGGGCAGAGCAAGAAGAGAGCGGTCGCGTTCTTCTTCCTTCTCCTTCCTTGGAGGAGAAACTGCTTTGCTCGCGATATCAGAGTGAGGAACTTAGGGAAGCAAAGAAAAGTTGGGCTTTCCCGTTGGCTCAGCATTGGCAGGTTGGGCTGGGATGGAGGTGATGCTCCAAATGAGTTCGTTGTTGAGCGACTGGTTTCCAGAGTATGGAGGAATTAATGCTGAGCGCCACAGCAGGTTGTACAGCAATGAGGTGTTCATAAGTATCTTTGATTTCTGGTGATGGGAGAGGCAGATACTTTCACTGTTTCTGGGCTGCTAAAATACTGAAACTGAAAGAAAACCAAATTCAGCTTCCTACATCTCATTTTCAGGATTTTTATAGCTGCGTTACCTCTGCCGTGTCGGCTGAAATAAGGTTCTGGCTGGTTTGCAGGCCCTTCGAAGACACCACCAAGGCAGCAGTTTGCTCAAAAAGTGTTTGCTCTGTCAAAGTCCATGCAGAATTCTCAGCGCTGAAATTATTGAGCTTCAAAACTTATGCCCTGCTCCCCCTCAGGGGCAGTTGGCGTGTCTGCTGGGCCACTGGGTGGTGTTGGTAGGGCCATCTCTTGCAGCAGGATTATTTGTAGGCTTGGTGCTACCCTGGCTCTGCGTCCCCGCGTCCGTCCCGTTTGCAGTGCCAGAGATCTGATGTTACGTTTTTTCTTTCTGCCTGATGTTTACACCTTCTTTTTATCTTTTCTCTTGCATGTGTTCTGGGCTGGATTGCAATAGAGAAGAAGAAAATGAGGTGAGTAAAACCGATTCCTTTCTTGACGTAGCTCCCAAGACGCGCGGTTAGCCCAACCTAGTTGGTTTGACCTATGGATTTCTTGAGTGGAGAGGGACTGAGGGTCCAGGTAAAGCGCACGGATGTCATTCTGGGGTGCCTCTGGTTCAGTGGTTAAATCCAGGAAAGAAGGGAACCACCTTCAGTGCCACCTCTGCCACCTACACGTAGGGCCGCGATAGCCGAGCGCGACGGTTCGGCGTAGGTAGATGCTGCTTTCTGCACCATGAGAAGATGATTATTTAAGGGCTTAGTCTGTGAAAAAAAAAATCAGTTTTGCTGTATACGGCTCGATGAATTTAAGGGGAAAGGAGAAAACTTGGAAGGACTGGAACAGTTTATAATACCCTGGCATAGGAACGACTGCTGCTAATAATTTTTGATGCCATAGGACTGTGCCCGTTCTGGTTGCGCTGGTGAGCGTCCTGTGTGTCCTCCCTCTGCTCCCAGCAAATGGAGAGCTGCAGGAGCAGCGCTGTTCAGCCATCGTGTGTCTGCTGAATAGCCAGAGCGAGCTTCTCTCGCCTTTTTCTTTCTGCAAAATACCCACAAGCAATGTTTCTGGGGAACGTTCCCTTTCTGTAAAATATTAAAAGGAAGGAGAACTCTTCTACCAGAGAGCTTTTGCTGGTAATTGCTACCTATTAAATTTCAAAAGCTACCTGTGGAGTGTGTTTAAAATTCCGTAAGTCAAGTTTTGTTAGACTTGGTGTTATTTAAGAAAATAAATCCCTGGAAGGGCGAGCACATAAGGGCAAAACTTTTGTTCTGAAATGTATCATCTCTGCTGAGCAGACCGTGAAAAGGGGAGGAATAGAAGCTTAGCAGCTCCTTTTTTGCCTTCAGGTCCTGTGGTTTGTGCAAGGGTGGATGTATCCAAACCCCGTTACTCACGTGTGAGCTCGGATCTGAGATCTGTTGTGCTTGAAGTTAGAAAGATTTTGATCAGAACATCGACACGTTTCCATAAGTGTGAATTTTGCACGGAAAATAATTTCACAGAAGAGCAAGAAAGAAAACTCTTGAATGCTAATGCACTGTGTTTACTATATTTTAATGACATTTTTATATATATACACATTCATTTTTTATATATATTTGTTATAATAAGTGAATCCAACCTCTGATAAGAATTTGGATGCAGATTTGCGGAGATGCCTTCCATTAGACATCAGGGTATAGATGAGGATAGGAACCAGATCTCTTACTTTTCCCTTGTCTCAAGACACATACGCAGGTCAGGGGTAAAAAAGTGTGAATTTCTGGTCACGTAGGGATAATAATTGACCCAGCAAACCCACAAAACGATGTTTCCGTATTCTTCAAGAGGCTGAGCCCAGTATCCTGCAGGAAAGTGGTCTCAGTAGCATTCAGACCTGTAGAAACTCCTACCAGACGGGCTGGATGCTTGATTTAGTTCTTTATTCTCCCACAAATTAGTTTATATACCCTTGTGTTTTAGTCTCTGGATCACTGCGATGCGTGGATTCTTTTGAAAACAGGGATAGTATTTTCAGGATGACTTTCTGGAGATGCTTGTGAGACAGTTGTGGAGAGAGGAGTGTATTTCAGAGCCGGGTGAGTCTGTGGAAATGCGCTTTTTTTTTTTCCAAGGTGAGTGTTTGGGTGCCCTTTTAACCACGGCACTCGTTTCAAAGCACCCATGAAATGGCACCCATAGAAATAACACCCCTTTAAAAGGAGTGCTTTTTATATTTTTGCACCCATTTTTTCCCCAGAATGCAGCTAATCGTCCGCTGGTGAAGATCAAACGTTGTGTATGGTGCTGGGTTGGGTAGCCACGAGTAGTCACGGGGAGACCGTGACGTGGTTTGCACAGTTAAATTAAACCCCTCTGTGTTTCATCAAAAATGAGGCTATTTTTGTATCTGTGCTGTCCAAAAGCCCGAATCGAACGAGGTGGGGTTTCCATTCCACCAGCGTCTTATTTAATAATTTACCATGGTGCTTTTAGCCTCAGCAGCTACGCATTGTTTTACAAAAGTTAAAGGATAACAAAGTACGTAATAATTCACAGTGGGTTGCAGGAAACCGCTGCTGCCGCCAAAGATGTGCTCATGCAACAGTTACGGGAGTAAAACCCAGCTCTGTACGGTTTTATTCTTATGCTTCTCAGGTTTAGGTTGGCCATGGGGAACAATTCCTTCCCCTTGGGGCTGTCAGGCACTGGAAGGGGCTGCCCAGGGAAGGGGTCGAGTCCCCAGCCCTGGGGGGATTTAACAGCCGGGCAGAGGCGGTGCTGAGGGCCAGGGTTTGGGGGTGGGATGGCAGGGGTAGGGGCACGGTTGGGCTGGGGGAGCTTGAAGGGCTTTGCCAACCCAAACCATTCTGGGATTCTATGATTCTTGCCCAGAATGTAATTACACTGGTGCAATTTGGATTTGTGGGGCTAAGGGCTGTCGACAACACCACCTTTTTAGCACGGTGCGGCAGCGTTCATCTTTAGGGATTGCAGTCCCGTGACGCAGCTTTTGCACAGACAAGCCCTAAGCGTTAAAATAGTTGGAGAAATGCTAAGATGGGCAAAAAATACGGCGCTTTACGCTCTGAAAATTACTAGTCTTGGGCTTGGATGAACGCATCCCGTAAGGTAAGAGGTTCCCGTGGTGAAGGAGCTTTGTTGCTCTAGATATGTTCCATTTCCAAAGCCAGGGTTCAGTTGTGAGTGCTGTCACAGCTGCTTTCACAGTGCAGATCCTGAGCTCTTAATGTCCTAGAGAAGCTGACTTGCAGCTCGTTAGCATCGAAAACAAACGGGCTTGCTTGTAGCATGGTCCTGGCTGCAGGGTGGCGAGGGAGATCCTGGGCAGGAGGCAGCAGGAAGCTGCTGGTGAGACGCAGGTGGAGCGTTACAGTCGGTTGGCCCGGAGGTGACAGAGTCATCACGCACGACTGCGTCCTGGTGGGAATTCTTGGAGTATTTTTATATTAATACTGATCTACGCCGGAGCCTGCAAACTTATTAGGAATTACTGATGGTTGAGATGAGGCTGTTGGCAGGAGGTGAGGAAGGACGGGGCTTAAAACCGCTGCTGTAATTCTGGGCAGCCTGATTCATGCTGAAACCAAATGCATCCAGGTGCAGCCTCCTGGGATGTGAAAATAAATGTACTTAAAGCTTAAAAAAGCGGGGTATTTTGTAGCCTGGGACCACAGAAACAGCACAAATCAAGTGGTGCTACCTCTTCAATTAACTTTATGTGTTAAACCCTATCTCTTTTTAAAAACCCTAAGAACTAAAATGAAAAAAGGACTTTCCGTGTGGTCATTAATAAGTCAGTTAAAAAGCCTCAGCCCAAACCCCAAAGGAGGTTTTGCTCCAAACTGGAAATGACTGGGTAATTGATTTTGTTCAAGAGAGCGC